AGTAGAAGTGGTGGAGGAATATAAATACCATGGTGTTCACCTGAACAGCAGATGGACTGGAGACTCAGCAGTGAAGCTCTAAACAAGAAGGGAAGCAGAAACTTTTCAGTTTGAAGGAAGATGTTACGTAACTTCTAACAGGGGTGTTCCACATATTCAAGATGAGGGCCAAAATCAAGTCTAAAAATCCTTGCAGACCACAAAACTGTATTTTTTAATAATTAAAGAATGCAGTAATTATTTTATGGTTACATTTTTGTACCTCTTAGGTCCAAATTAAGCATATTAGTAACAATCTGAAGATAAAAATGTCAGAAAGTATCAGTTCTCACAAAGTACACGAACAGCAGGTTTTTTTTTCTTCCGTGTACTAGAGAAACAAAATCATCATTCTTGAATTGCAATTTTGAGTCACATAAAATCACTTTGAGGATCACAAGGCCCTCTGACTACACATTGGACATGCCTGTTCTCAAAGAATGTTGTGGAAAGAGCAATCTCATTTGGGGTCACAGCATCAGACATTGATCATAAAAATGTAGCGTTATGAACATTATAAATGTCTGCCCTTAACAGCTGCCCCTTCACACAGTAACATCGCCAAGGTCGGACGCTTGGTTCAGTATGTTTACATTCCAGGAGAAGAGACAGAAGAAGAGAAGAAGAACGCTTTCCTTTAATTAAAGTACTTTATTTGTGATAAGCTAATCAGAGCATATGTTGATCATTAATAATCAGGTGAATGATCTGTGAAATAAAGATGTCATGAGTTATGTGTTTAATGAATAAACAGGACTGCACCAGACAGACTGATCTACATTACCATGGAAACGCATGACACATTGTTTTCAACCAATCAGAACTTTCGTGTGTCGTAGGGCAGAATCTGGGTTGTTTAATGAAGTTGAACAATCCGGTTTACTAAGATTTGTAAACAACTAGGGGATATAAAACAAGGCAACGCCATTTTATATTCAGTTCCATGTTAAACTCAGTTCCGTTCATGTGGAGGTCCTAAGGATTTCCATCGTCATCATTAAGAAAGTTACAGGCTGGCCAGCTGTACTTTCTATTTTAAGCTGAGAACTGTCAAGCTGGAGATTTCCGTCGTTTGAACCAACAAGACGACGTTCCTTCAAAATAAGAGTGAACTTGTTGACGCCTGCCGATGCTACCTGAGTCGACCCTTCAGACGGGCGTTGTGTGCTGTGACCGCTGTTTCAACCAGCTCCAGTACATCTGAAGGTCCGAGGACCTGGCAATTCCTGATCTAACATGGGAGGCTCCACTGGGTGCGTAAATACGGCAAAATGGCGGCTCATGTCATCAGCTTCTGAAGCCTCGTGGTAGCCTAGTCATAACAACCAGATTCGCTACGTCAGCCTAGAGATTCTGAACAAAACACACACACACACACACACACACACACACACACACACACACACACACCAACACAAAACATCCAAATCCATATGCATTCATCATTGAGATAGTCCTGGTAGATTGTAAGAATTTATAATTATAGAAATTAAAGATTCTTAAACGATCCCAACTCTCTCTTTTCTTGTCTCTCAGTCAATACAGAGTGTTTGAGTAAACTCCCTGATGATAAAAATGACCATTTCTGATTAATTACTTAGATCTAATTACAGTGTATAAATATACAACTTCAGATCATTACAAAAAGCTGACTAAAAATAGGGTGGCTCTGTTTTGGAAACCTTTCTGGAATCTCTGGAGCTGATTGTGCAGAGGATACTTCATTACATTATTGATAACCTACATCATCTTAACAAATCATTTATTCTCCCTAACCCACCTTGCCTGCTGGTGGTGGTCAGGGGAACCGGGGGCGCCAATGTTCAGCAGGACTCTGTGCCCCAGGTCAGCTGTGTCTAAATCGTAGCTACATTGTAGCTCATCACCACCTGTGTGTGTGTGTGTGTGTGTGTGTGTGTGTGTGTGTGTGTGTGTGTGTGTGTGTGTGTGTGTGTGTGTGTGTGTGTGTGTGTGTGTGTGTGTGTGTGTGTGTGTGTGTGTGTGTGTGTGTGTGTGTGTGTGTGTGTGTGTGTGTGTGTGTGTGTGTGATTGTATTGTGAAGCACCTTGGGAGGTTGTAGAACTCTAAGAAGGCGCTATACAAACACAGACCATTTACCAACCCAGCCTCACTGGCTGGAGGAGCAACAGCTCTACTCCAAGCCCCTCCTGGATATCAAAGCTTCTCTGCTAATGGTAGCGGTGAGTGGGTGGACGTGGCCAGCAACGGCTTGTTTTTTTCTTCCGGCTCTTGGGGAGTACAGACGCTTTTTTCTCCTCTCCCTCCCTTCTTATCCCAAGGCTCTTTGTCCTGTCTGTGCACAGCGCTTTCTGCATTATTTCTGAAAACTGGAAATTATTAAAAATGGATCTGGTCAGTTGGTCTCTCAACGCAATTGACAAAAAATTTTCAACAATGAGAACAGGAGAAGGGGCTCCCGGATATCCCTCTGGGACAGAGCCAACTGGGTATATCATGAACTCCTGGAAACAGTGGAACCAGTTATGCCTCTCTCAACTGTCTGTAGAGGATTCTGAAGATGTTTAGATATTCGTCGTTTTGGTGTGGGGATTCCTGCCTGGCTTACCGGAAAATTAACGAGCTTTCGAGGAATATTGGCTCAATCCCGGAGCTCAGGGATGGAATGCATCGTGCTGTGAACGCACAAACTCATATAATTGTCGAGATTGTAAGCTTGGATCTTTGGCTGAGATTCAGGCTCTGGCACAAAAGGTGGATACCATCAAGGAGCAAGTGGACAGATCAGCACGGATTGGAATTGATTAATTACGCCATTATTGGATCTAGAGGAGTTGTAGACCAACAGAACACTAAGGCAGAGAGGAAATTGTCTGTCTGTCCCCCAAACAAATTTTATCTGAATCTGGTGCCCTTAGAGCCTGTGACGCTGAAGTGATAACTCCCCCCTCAGAAGAAATGTGTAATGTCGCTGTAGCTATGGAAACTCTTTCTCCCTATTCCAGCCTGGGCGGGACTGTGACCGGTGAAGACCGTGGAACTGTACTGTATCTTGAGCCCCCTTCAGACAGGCCATGAAAAACGGAAATGTTCCAGACTCTGTCCGTAAGACCTTTGTGTCTGAATACAAACATCCGGATAACGTTTTCCGTAATTTAACCGGACCCTAGTAACAGGTCTGGACTTGTTATGGACAGGGTGGCTGCTTCAGACTGGTGAGGTCGAGTTCTGGACAGGGAGGAGGGGGAGGAGGAGGGGACCGGGGGACGCTGTGCACACCTAGATAGCTCGCTCCTGTAGCATGCAGCGAACCATGGCAGCTCGCTTCCTACGGTACCGTCTAGACGCGCGACGGAGCGCTTCACACCGCTTCAGTGATTCCTTTAACCATTGAGCTTCATCATCCAGGTCTCTTATGCATCTTTGTGTGCGCAGAATTATGATTAACATAAGTCCGATCCCCCCCCCTCCCTCCCTCAAACATATGGAACTTTTCCCTGCTGTGTGAAGGCAGCCTAAAGGACAAGTTCTGGTACAAAAGTGGTGTGTCTGAAAACACAGTTCCGGTTAAAAACCGGATTGAATTGTCCGCACATATTCCAGAATGTCTATCTGAAAAGGGCTTAGGAGTCACTGTGCTCTCTAACCCATTATCTCCCTCCCCTGTCCAAACAGAGGTGATGAGCACTACCCCATGTGGCTGCACGCACTGAAGTGAGGAGAGTCCCAACCCTACCTCCCCACCTAGTGGACACTTATGTTGTGTGATGTCTGAAGTCTGCTGCATTTCTGTCTGAGGTGTTGTTTTGCATAGCAAAGCTACCCTCTCTGTGGAGGATAACTCTGAAGTGCCTTTCCCCTCCCCCCTCCCCCTGACTCTATCCTCATATAAACCCTCTTGATCTATTACGGTAGCGCGACTCCGGTTGCGAATGGCCACAGTCACCATTCTTGTCATGTGTCCATGTATGTATGTCTGATCTCAGAATTGTGTGTACTGAAACTTTAATGTCCCTCTGGGGTTAATAAAGTATTTTTGAATTTGAATTGAATTTCAATTGAAACAGCCCTGAAATGGCTCATTCTGGAAGGTACTGAAACTGTCAACAATAAAACTGTTGACAGAATTGTGCAAAGAACTTCTTAAACAAGTTTTTGATGGATCATAAAACTATAAGCTATCTTTTTTGAAAAAGTCATGTCTTTTTTAAAAATAATGACATTTTACAAATGTTGCTTTTAGGAACAATATTTTTCAATTAAACTATACTGATGCTGCATTGCTTTTGCTGCTTAAAGTGGGCAACTTACTCTTAACAGAAATCTGCTTTCTTTCATAAAATCCTGAAGGAGAATGTTTGGCCATCATTTTGTCAGCTGAAGCCTCAAGCTCACTCAGCTATTCAGCAGAACACTGATCCAAAAAAAGTTCACCTCTGGATGAGCTAGTATAGAAACAGTGGCTCAGTCATCACAAATGGTTTTACATCCAGTTATTGAGTTTTTAAAAAAAATAATTAACACTAGAGCGGCCACTAAACTCTGTGAATGAGAAGATTTGCTTTTCAAGACAAGTAAAATCAAATTAGACCATCTATAATTTAATAACGTACATTTTCTTTGTACAGCACTCATCACAGACATAAAATCACAAAGTGCTTTAGACCAAAACAAAGCATAAAGTCAGAAAATCATGAGCTTAAAACGGAAATACATTTAAATCAGAACAGCAAAGTCATAAAATTATAAAACATACCATGAAGCAAATGAAAGATTAAAAAATTGAGTAAAAAATAGACAACGATAAATGAGTGAATAAACAAATCAATAATCTTATTCTTATTAATCATTCAATCATTCAATCTTATTAATCATTTATAACAGTCTGCCCTATATGGGCCTTTCATAGGGAAACTTCCTGAAATCCGGGCGGGATCCGCGTTGTGACTCCCCTCTCTCATGCTTTTTGTCTTCCCTCCTCCCTCCCTTCTGCTCCTACGTGGCTGTTTGGGAACGCCGTGGAGTGGTCCCTGTCTGCCCACAACAGCAGCTGGGATTCTGGAGGAACTCCGCGCTCCGAGCCTCCCTTCAAACCCGCCTGGATGGCAGGGACACTCTGGAGCACAGACTGTTGGAACCACAAGGTACTTAAATATGTAACAACAGAATTTGGGGTTTTTGTTCTGATGTTTGACAGCTTTTTGTCCCCACTCGGTAGCCGTTACATTTCTGAAAGTGATGTAGCTGCTAGCATAACTTTGGAGCAAGGAGCTAGTTTAGCGAAACTGTTCTGTTCAGTTTAAACACGTTCACGTCCGCCTACACAGTGGGATGATTTAAAGTTTTCAGCTTTTCCTTTAATTTTGCTCTTTCTGAGTGGATTTAGCGCCACAGCGCAGTGGTTCAGTGGCTTTAAGCTATTTTAGTTACTTAATAGTTATTAAAACTAGCCAATTTCCAGACAGAACACTAGTAAGCTAATTTGTTTATCAATATTAGCTGCTGCTACGTGAGCCAGACAGAGACTCGCAGCATGGAACATATAAACGGGCTGCTGCCAAGAGGAAGTCTGGCTGGAAGTTCTGCAGTTTTTGTCTCCTCCACAGCTGTTTATAAAACAATGTGCAGCTTGATCCTAAATCTGGTTTCATGAATAACTTCCTTTTATTGAGTGAAACAGATAAAAATTATCGTGAGAGAGGCATTGAGTTTGTGGCAGACATGTGATTTTCACTGAAATAATGTAAGATACCTCATTTCTTGTGTACGTTTCTGTAATAAACACTGTTTTAGTTCGCTATTTAAAGTCTAAATTGCACGCAGTATTTACAAGAGGCCACCCTAGGGCTGAAATATACTTCTAAAGCAAGATTCTTGACCTACTGATGTTCTAGTGCATTGTGGGTAGCATATAAAAATTCCCCCCAAATTGTCCAATGTGCACATGGAATAAAGGTAATATAGTAATCAAATTCCATTTGAAGAGTAACATTTGATCAATTAGAAAGGAACAAAGTATGGTGGTAAATTATCCCAATTACATTTGTATAAGTTAGAAAGTGTTTATTCTCTCTTAATAAGTTTCTTTAGTTAAATAAATGAAGTCGCAATAACACACTAGTACACATTAGTCCCACGAGTAACTCTGTTGTTGGCCTCCATCTGACTTTTAAAGCAGTTTCCAAGAATTCTGTGTGAGTGAGTCCGTTTGGAGTGTTTTGATTGGAATCAGAGTTTAAATCCTGTACAGGATTATAACAACCTAAATCAGATCTGGGCTGTTGATACGAACCAACTTAGCTTCTATTTGTTACTATACTGTAATGTATAAAATATTTTAAAGGTGTGGTTCATTCATTTAATCAATTCATTTGCAGCGGTCTCTAGTAGGAATGAATGCCTTGTTAGTTGTATTCCGGAGGAAAGAAAGCCCGAAAGTGCCTGTAAGCAGCTTCAGATGGCAGGCTTTTGAGTCTTATTTCCTGATATTTGGATATCTCGCCTCTGATTGGATAACAGCAGTGCAACTCTACCACAAGCCCTTTTTACAAGACACACTGTGCTGGCTAATCAGCGTAATATTACCACAACAATGTGTCTTATAAATGCACCATGCCAGCATGGCGATGCGCAAATTTTGCAGCATTCGTTCTTCCTCGCTTGCTAGTTGTTGCAGTAATTGTCTGTCTTATAAACGGCGATTGTGCCTTTGCGCAATAGAGGGAGGTGTCATGATCACATGGGAAGTTACTGCTGAGCTCCGGCTGGCAACTATATTGAAAATGTAAGTAAACACGGCCCGTTAGTTTAGTTTTTTTGAACAAAATCAGCTGAAACCGCAAACTGGAGCAGTGCTGCACTCCTGGAGCTTCTTTCCTTTAGAGCTGGAGCTCAGATCACCAAAGACTGAACAGGGACTGTGAAGGAAAGACACCTTTAGGAGCGGCTTGTCAAAAAATCTTAATTAGCGCGGCTTTGTTGCAGTGAGAATCCAGGTCTGCCCAAAATCGTGTCAAAAAGTAAAAAATACAACCCTTCAACTGTTTAATCCTCATCCTCCGTGTTAACAGTCGCTTTACCTGCAGCTGCTAGCGGTAATATCTGGGTGGATTGTGGCAAGTAGGAATAAAAAAACTCCTTTTCTGAATTTAGGTCAATATTAGAGGATTTACGGTATTTTTGTGTGGCCTCTGCGACGTTGATGTTTTTATCGCCACAAATAATTGAAGCCTGGAGGAGTTCTGCTATGTGATGGAGTTGCTAATGCTAACAATTAGCATCTGCCTGTCGAGACGGTCTCTGCTGTTTTCTGGACGCTAAATCAACATCAGCCTTCCTGTCACGAGTCAAGATGGGTGAGTCCATGAATGTTAGGTGACGGTGTGACGTAGGTCTGTCGGGATTTTCTAATCCTAGAGTTTCACCGTCTATTTTCTATCAGAAACTACTGCAGGAGATAGGTGTAGGAGACTATTTTCATGTTCAGCCTGCATGTGACACATAATAATGAAATAATAAAAACATTTTTTCAGTGTTCCACACCTTTAAGGATGATGGTGAACAATACAGCAGTAAGCGTTGTCCAGATTCCCACTTTGAACCAATATATAAAACGGTTATTAAAACGCCCCTCAAAATAAATCGCTGGCGGTTACTGAACAGAGGTTCTGTGTTCAGACTGACCTGAGAGAGAATGAAGACAATAGGAAAGATAACAGGCGTGTTTGCTTTTTGTTGTAGTGATTAGTAAAGGCCACCAGGTCATGGGGGACAAAACTAACAGTCACACTCAAATTTAATCAGCCAAGGAGAAAAAAATGTAATTTTAAAAAGTTATTTAAAGAAGTCTGGAAAAACATCAGATGTAGGATTTAAACAGCAAGTTATCATTTGATGTACCCCCTCTGCACAAATAGCAACAAACACCCGAGTATGTTTTAGCTGAAAGTCCTGATAGTCATCATCACATGCGGGTGAAATTACATCTCCACATCCGACCCATCCACGTGGGGAGCGATAAGCTGCAGACAGGGCTGTGCTCAGGAACTATTTGGTGGTTAAACCCTCTAATCCAACCCCTTAAACCTAAGTGTTGGTTTATGCTTGACGCATTCACTTTCCGCGCGGTGATGCGGCTCGCGGCTGGAACGCGCTTCACAACTCGCAGCGTTTATGGTTCGTGCGGCTCGTCTCTGCGGTGAGCCAATATTCTCCCAAACTGTAGGGGGCAGCATGGAGCTCTACGGCATGCATCCAACACTACACCATAGTAGAAGTAAAAATTACTGTTTACAACATGGCATTCCAGCATTTTTAACAGCGTTCTCGTCTTTTCCGACAGTGCGAGCTATTTCTCTCCAAGAATTATTAACAACATGTTGATCACGGTGATCTCTGAGAGCTGAATCATACAAATGTCTGTATTTACGAACCTCTGCCGTACTAGTTCTTGCCGGTCCGCCATGTTTTTCCGCGTCCGTCCGTCCGCGTGGTTAGAAATTTTCCGAGGTGCGCGTTGCGGAAATTCTGGGCCGTGCGGAGGCGCGGCGGAGGGGCGTGGTTGTTAAAATGACGCAACTTTTCCGTGCGGAGCCGTGCGGACCTCGCAGACGCGTCAAGCATAAACCAACCTTGAGTGGGGATGCATTAGGTCCCATTTGTAAGCTCTTTGACATGACCTGACTGGGATTTGAACCCCGATCTCCCAGTCCCAGGGTGGACACTCGGCCGCTAGGCCACTGAGCTGGTGGGGAAAGATGAAGATGGCGTCTCTGCTTAAAGCTTTCTTCTGACTGCTTACTAGAGCGTTTGTAATCCTCCACCGTCCTCTGGTTTGCTCCGTAAGCAAAAAAAAAACAAACATTTTGGGCCAAACAGACATTTACATATTGAGTCTTCATCACTGATGAGGAAAATAACAGATTAAGTGGTAAAATATTGATTTAGGCATCTGTAGTTTTCATATTTTTGACTAAAACATTTGTTCTGTCTTTGTTGGGTTCCACAATAAATCCTTGAATTCAGTGCAAGTGAAGTGAACTGTTGCAGCATGGGATCAGGTCATTTCCTTCATTTCCATCTGCTTGCGAGTTGTGGAGAAAGCAGGTCCTAGTGGTAAACCCAGACATTCCTCTCCTCAGAGGATACGGCACTCCAGGCCAGAAAGTAAATATGATCCCTGCTTCAACCCTTGGAGGCTTCTGGGACACAAAGGAAAAAGTGCAGGGTTTATTTTTCTGGTGTAACTTTCCACCTGCCCTACTTGCATTGTTAGCCTCTCGGGAAGTTTATCTTTTAATTCAAAATGGAATGGAATATTTGAGTTCTCCATTATGATTCAGTGGAGATATCCAGCTTTAATTACAAATGCAGACCCACCTGCAAGTGGATTGAGGACACCGGAGTTTGTTTGAAATGGAAATGCCCAGATTTAAATGAGAAGGCTTTTGTTTATTTATTTATTTATTGTGTTTGATCCTTGCATATTTCAGCCTTTCAACGCTCAGTTTTACTGCAAACTACGAAAAATGTTTCAATCCCCCAAAAATATCACTTAAGGAAAATAAAATTTCCAAAATCTACTTTTCTTTTCTGCCACCAGTGACAGAAAGTTTAAAGATGTCACCAGCTTGTGGTGTGAATTGAAGGCATTTAAAGCAGCATTTTGTGGCTCTTCTTACAGCTTTACTGTTTACGTTTTGGACCGTGGGACGGATGAACGGTGGACGCTGCTGGAGGCCCAGCTGGGCTGTAGCTGCTCTGTTAGCCCTCGTTACCCTGCTGCTGCTGACCTTAAGGGGGGTGTCAAGCATCCAGAAGATGACACAGACCTCCATGGCTCATGCCACAGCTGCAGCTGCAGGACCAGGACCCTGTCTGACAGATGACCTCCCAGGCCTTCAGGCAGTAGCAGACTTTTTAACCAGTGAGCTCACACACGTTTGGATCCTGTCCCTGGTGGGCTCTGTTGCTGTAGGCCTCAGTGGGATTTTCCCCCTGCTTGTTATTCCCATTGAAGCTGGAGCGGCCCTCAAAACGGAAGGTAAGGGATGGCCGAGTGTAATTTATTCTTCTTTTAAAACAAACTACAATTAGGCTCACCATTTGTAGTAAACTCCCGATCTCAAGCTCTAAATTTCACTTGCTTTGTATTAAAGTTCAAAGTCTCAAACTCCAGAAGAATCAACAAGGAGATGCATCGAGTCTTTGTCATAAACCCAGCTGCATTTCTGACATCTTAGCCTCACATGAACTGCCTGGGAGACAAAACATCTGCAGCGGGGGAGGTTTGGATGCAGCTACTGTCTCTTTAAAAGCAAATAGCTCTGCAGTGATGCAAGTTCACAGGTTTAGTTTTTATTTTTTATGTTTTGAAAGGTGACAAAATATGTGGCAGGAGAGTTCCTTAAACTGAGCAGAAAAAATGTTTGTCATTGCAACAAGAAGTACAACTGAACAACTGCAGGGCCGCAAAAACAACAATTGTAAAGTTTATAGCTGTTATGAAAGTCTTATTGGTAGCTTTGTAATGCTTCACTAGAATACTGCTGTACTTTCATCTGATTGCATCAAAAATAAATAATAAAAAAATTATATGTATATATATATATATATATATATATATATATATATATATATATATATATATATATATATATATGATAGCTCAATATAGATATAGAGATGGATATACAGTGGGGCAAAAAAGTATTTAGTCAGCCACCGATTGTGCAAGTTCTCCCACTTAAAATAATAATAATAATAATAATAATAATAATAATAATAATAATAATAATAATAATAATAATAATGCATTGAACTTATGTAGCGCTTTTCAAGACTCTCAAAGATGCTTTCACACACTCACATTCACACACTGCTAGTGATAGTAAGCTACTTGGAGCCACAGCCGCCCTGGGGAGGTCTGACAGAGGCGAGGCTGCCATTTGGCGCCGTCGGCCCTTCTGACCACCACTAACACAGGCAAGTTGGGTGAAGTGTCTTGCCCAAGGACACAACAGCAGGATACCCCTGGCGGGAGCTGGAATCGAACCCATGACCCTCCGATCATGAGGCAACCTGCTCTACCACCTGAGCTACTGCTGCCCCAATGCTGTATTTTTTTTTTAACTGCAGAACGAATTTATTCACAGAAAAACAGAATGCTGCCATTTTCATGAGAATAAACGAATGGTTTCTGACATCAAAGTGGACATAAAATGGCAATGTAGAATAGGGGCACAAGTTTCAATCAGCAGTTTGAGAATTTGTTTATATAGGCGCATTTATAAACCACACAGACCTTAACTGAGCTAACTGTGCCGGTGCGTGAGAAGCAGGCAGGTGCTGCTGCATTTAAGTGTTTCAGTTTTTTTTTTTTTTTTTTTATGAATTCGATTAAAAATAAAGGTGCCCGGCCCGTGTCCGAGGTAATTACTCAGTCGTAGGGCCGAAGCCCGGCCCTCGGGCCTGGGGCTCCAGTGCAGGGCTCTATGATAGATATAGATATTTATCTATATATATCTTTTCATGTAGATGGATAGATATAGAGATATAGATATCGATAGATAGATAGATGATAGATGATAGATGATAGATAGATGATAGATAGATGATAGATAGATAGATGATAGATAGATGATAGATAGATAGATGATAGATAGATGATAGATAGATGATAGATGATAGATGATAGATAGATGATAGATAGATAGATGATAGATAGATAGATGATAGATAGATGATAGATTGATAGACGATAGATAGATGATAGATAGATGATAGATAGATGATAGATGATAGATAGATAGATGATAGATAGATAGATGATAGATAGATAGATAGATAGATGATAGATAGACGATAGATAGATGATAGATGTATCTCAACGGAAGTTGAACCTGTATGTGTTAAATGGGGAAAAAATGCACCAAATAGAAAAGCTTCATAATTGCATTGCAACCCTCTGAATTGTAATCAAATCATGTTGAGCCTGAAGATTTCCTCCCTGCTGCACGTCCAGCTGTGTTCCAGGCTGAAGCACATCACTGACTGGTGAACTGGTCGTTAACAAAGGAACTCTTTCAGGATAAAGTTCCTGTGCAGCAGCAGTTTATCAGTAATAAAACTACGATGCACCAGACACTCGATCTACGTTTGTGCTTCGTATTTTTGAAGCACAGCAGAAGAGGAAAGAACAGAAAACTTGTAGAAGTTTAAAGCCTTACAGCTGACATGAAGTTGAAGTCTTTTATTAATTATACCTTTTAATAATTGGTACCCTGTTTTGTTTGCTTTGCCAGCTGGTTGCCAGAAGCTGAAGCAGCTTTTAAGCTTTGCTACTGGCGGTCTCCTTGGTGATGTTTTCCTGCACCTCCTTCCTGAGGCGTGGGCGCTCTCTGGCTCTACAGGTGGGTCTTTCAGGGTTAGACGCACCTTTTATTTACAGACTGTTTTTACCCTTTGTGTTCCTATGATTTATTCCAGTAAAAAATATGTTGTCAGTTTGTTTGTTTGCTATTACTGCTTCATGTCGTGTGTTTGACACTAGTTTAGCAGATTTATAAAACTTATATCAGACCAGAAGGTGTTCACAAAATAAAAAATGATAGATTTTTTACATGTTTTTGCAGCAGTAAGTACCATTTTTGGAATAATTGTTTATTTGTTTATCTTTAAAGGGATTCTAGAATTTCAAACCACATTTATGTTGTTGAATATAGAGATTGGAACAGAAGTATTCAAACACCTGGCAATCAGCAACAGTTCTGTCTCTCACAGACCTGTTACTCTGCCTTTAACTCATTTCCTGCCATTGATGAAAAAAGTTGTCATTTGCATTTTTTTTACTGTGTGGGCGTCGGAACGAGCCCCCGCACCATGAGAACAAACATCTCAGCTCTAAAGCCGATCTTCATCCACCTACGTCACACGTCACGTGATCGGGAAGCAGAAAGTCCATGCGTTAGGAGATCGTTTTGGGCCAATGCTATAAAAAAAAAAGCGAGGCGCGAACCGGAAAAGCTTCTGCCGATCACAATTCGACAACGGATTATGAAAGAACGGTAAAGCTCGAAACGCGCGGATTCTTCCTGATGTAAGAAGTGAGTCTCCTCTTTGTTTTGTTGGCATTGACATCATCCTAGTGCGCAACGTTCTGTGACTTAAAAACAGTGAAAAACGCTGGCAGCGAAGGGCTTTTCTGATCAAGAAATGGCTGCCAGTGAATGAGTTTAAGAAGTTCACCTCTACTTCACTTACTCATCTGATTTATTAGTACTTGTCTGAGCTTGTTAAAGTGACTGTGTATATTTTCCCTGGTGATAGGGGGCAGAACATACCTAAATCATTGGAAGCAAGCAGTATCTTTGTGTTTGAGTAAGGCCTTACCAACGGATGATTATTAGTCTAAATTCCCTGGGAGCGCAATTTCTAAATGAGTACTTTGTCAGATCGTTCAACCTCCAGCAAGATGACAAGCACATCAGACTCCCTTTCATCACTGGCAGCAAGAGGTACAGGTGTAAAACAACAACGTTGATGAAAGTTTTGTAACCGTTTGTTAGTAATCAGCTCCTTCCTGGCACTCGCTGAGTACAGACGCTTCTCTTTTCGCTCCCTTATCTTTTTTTCCCAAGGCTCTTTGTCCTGTCTGCCCACAGAGCGCTTCTCTGCATTTCTCCTGAAAAACCCTATTTTTAACTATGGATTTGATAAATTGGTCGTTCAACGCGATTGATAAGATTTTTTCAACGATGAGAACGGAGCAGGGGGTTCCCACATGCCCACAGGGGACACACCCGGCGGGGTATATGCTGGATTCCTGGAGGGAATGGAAGATCGTATGCCTCTCCCAGCTGTCCATTGAGGATATCAAAGACGTGTGGATATTCGGCCTGATGATCACTGGATTTCCCCTGATTGGAGTGGAAGGATATCTGGTTTTCTGGAAATTTGGGAAGATGGGAGCGATTGGAGGGCGACCCGCACCCACGGAAAGCACCGTCCGTGTGGAGACTTCACAGACTGGGAAGTTACTCGAGGTGAATCGTAAGCTGGACAATGTTCTAGCTGCGATACCGGTATTAGTGCGCAAAATGGATGTCATCTCGGAGAGAGTCACCGGACGGTATGGACAAGTTTAAAAACTCAAAATTGGCTTCACTGAAGGACTGGAATTATCAGTTTAAAGACTGAAGGCAGAGAGGAAAATTATCTCAGCCTGACCCAAACAGTCTTGTTATCCCAATCTGACGCCCTGGTAGCCTTGAGCGGCTACAAACCCCCACGAAGGAATGCAGACAGATGCTGTGAAAACCCGACCTACCCCCCCGTGCCTTCGGATTGGTGGACTTCAACCTGGCAAGGTCATCAACCTGCACGAGTCAATGTACTCTGCGCTTCTCCCAAGATCTCCCCCCCACCTGTGACTGCACAGTGGCTGAGTGCCGTAGATGGCTGCTCTCGCTGGGGGAAACAGGATCCCAGCCCCCCCCCCCCCCCCCCCCCCCCCCCCCCGCCTTCCTATTAGAGTCTCATGTTATGTTGTGTTGTCTGAAGTCTGTTGCATATATGTTGAGGCGTTTTTTTGCAGAGCAAAGCTGCCCTCCTGGTGGGAGGGTAGCTGTGAAGTGCCTTTTTTCCCCTCCACCTCTTATCTCTATTAAGGTAGCGCGACTCGGGTTGCGAATGACCACAGTCACCAATTCTTATCAAGTGTCTTATGGCAGATCTCTGAATTGTGTGTACGGAAACTCTATTTTCTCTCTGGGATTAATAAAGTATTGATTGATTGATTAAGTAAATGTGTTTTGTCCTCACGGGCTCCCGTAGCAGGAAACAATGTGCCTAATATGGCGTCGCCGAGAGACTTAGACCCTTCCTCACTTATTTTGGACCTGATTTTTATGGTTATGATGGGAAGCCGCCAATATTTTTCAACAACTGTCCATCATATAAATAATTTTCAACATTTTGATGGATATTTCCAGAGATTAACGGTAAAAACTACACATTGTCTCAGTAAAGACACCTGTCCCCCCTTCAGTCAGACTCCAACCACTACCATGGGCTACACCAAAGAGCTGTCAAGACACCAGCATCAAAATCGTGGACCTCCACAAGACTGGAAAGGATGACAGATCAACTGCCATACAACTTGAGGGAAATAGATCAGCTGTTGGAGCAACTGTTAGGAAATGAAAGTGGCTTAAGATGACTGTCAGTCCAGGGAAAGGGGCTCCATGACAGATCTCGCCAGGTGGGGTATCACTGATGACAAGAAGGATGAGGAATCAGGCCAGAACTACACAGGAGGAGCTGATCAATGACATGAAGAGAGCTGGGAGCACAGTTTCAAAGGCCTCTGTCTGTAGAACGCTACGCCATCATGGTTTTAAACCATGCACTGCACGAAAGGTTCCCCTGCTCAAGTCATTACATGTCCAGGCCCGTCTGAAGTTTGCCAGTGACCATCTGGATGATCCAATGGAGGCATGGGAGGAAGTCATGTGATCAGCTGAGACCAAAATGGAACGTTTTGGTCTAAACTCCACTCGCCGTGTTTGGAGGAAAAAGGATGATGAGGTACATCCCAAGAACATCATCCCTACCTTGGAGCATGGGGCGGAAACTTCATGCTTTGGGGCTGTTTTTCTGCCAAGGTGACCGGACGACTGCACTGTAGTAAGAAGATGAATGGGGCCAACAACCTCTTTCCCTCAGAGCATTGAATATGGGTCGTGGCTGGGTCTTCCATCGTGACAATGACCCGAAGCACACAACCAGGATGACCAAGGACTGGTCCACTGTAAGAAGCATATCAAGGTGCTGGAGTGGCCCTAGCCAGTCTGCAGACCTAAATCCAATAGAAAATCTTTGGAGGTAGCTGAAACACCTTGTTGCTCAGCGACAGCTGCGAAACCTGACAGATCTAGAGATCGGTGTGGAGGAGTGGGCCAAAATCCCAGTTGCAGTGTGTGCAAACCTGGTGAAGAACTACAGGAAACATTTGACCTCTGTAACTGTAAACAAAGGCTTCTACACCAAATATTAACACTGATTTTCTCAGGTGTTCAAATACATCTGTGCAGCAGTGCAACGCAAATACATTCTTTAAAAAAATCATACAATATGATCTATTTATTTTTTATGCTGTCTCTCCCAGTGGGAATGCACTTACAATGTGGATTTCAGACCCTTCCATGATTTCTAATATAGGACAACTTGTAAAATCACAGGGTGTTCAAATACTTATGTTCTAAACTGTAGGAAGCTTTGGGTGTCTAATGTAGCATACCAACAAGTCTGTGCCATCTCCAACCTGCTTTCCTATGTCAAGTGGTAATGTTGTAATGACCTCAGAGAAATGGTTTGTTCTGATGAAAGCTGGTTTAACACGGTTTGTCTAGATTTCTATGCTAGGCTCCTGGGCCATTGTGCGCCCCAACAAAGTTTCATAAGCTGAGGCTCATCGAACTGTTTCCAGTTGTAAAACTCCTTTAAAAACTATGGTAGTAAAACAGCTGTTATATGTAACAACACCACCACTACTGCCCACATATTTACAGCCTGTTTGTTGCCTTCCCAGCTTGTAAACAGAACCACTATGTGACCCAGGGCTTGTGGGTAATCATTGGCCTGTTTTCCTTCCTTCTACTGGAGAAAATGTTCCCAGACCACGAAAGCCTGGAAGATGCCTCCTCGGATTCAGACCTCAACTCTAACCTTTCTGTAAGTATTTCTGCTGACATCTCTTGATCTAGCACGTCGGTACAGGCCTCTTCATTGGCATGCTCGGTGCATTTGCTTGGTGCTCGCTGTCACGCTTGGTGTGCATATCTGTCAGTAGAGGTTTGATGAAGGCGGCTTCCGATGACCTTCAGGACGCCAGAGAGTTTACTACAATGCTTCCACCTCTGAGCGGGAACTGTCTGACTCAGTGGTTTTCATAGGTCAGTTCAAAGCTTTCTGTCTCAATGAAACGGATATTCTGTTATCTCATTCACTGCCAATGACGACAAAAGTTGTCTTTTGTGGTTTTTTACTGTTTGGGCGTCGGAACGAGCCCCCGCGCTGAGAGAACAAACATCTCAGCTCTAAAGCTGATCTTCATCCGCGTACGTCACACGTCGCATGATCAGGAAGCAGAACATCCATGTGTTAGGAGATTGTTTTGGGCCGTTCCTGTAAAAAAAAAAAAAAAAGTGAGGTGCGAACCGGAAAAGCATCTGCCGATCACAATTCAACAACGGATTATGAAAGAACGGATAACGCTCGAAACACAGAGATTCTTCCTGATGTAAGAGGTGAGTCTCCTCTTTGTTTTGGTTGTTTTGGCGTCGAAATCATCCTAACACCCAACGTTCTGTGACTCTTAAAAAACAGTAAAAGCGGTGAGAAACGCTGGCAGCGAATGGTTTTAGCTATCAGGAAACGGCTGGCATGAATGAGTTTATACTGTTTTTTTAAATCAAATGTTCCCTTTAGTTCTAAACAATATTTACCTTAATGCATTTTTGTCTGATTTGGCGTTTTTCCTCACACTTCCGTCATTCATCAAGAATTGCTGTAGTTGACATCAGTTGGATGTGTTCTTGCCCACTTTTCTTTGCAGACTTGTTTTAATTCAGCCACACTGGAGAGTTTTGGAGCACAATTGACCAGGTTAAGGTCATGCCACAGCATCTCAACTGGATTTAATTCTGGACTTTGAATGAGCCATTCCAACTTCATTTTTAAACCTTACGGTCACAGGCTGGCGCTTCAGATTATTGTTCTGCTGCATAACCCGAGTGAGCCTGAACTCAAGGTCACTTTACCTCAGAATGTTCTGCTAGAGAGCAAAATTCATAGTTCCGTCCATTGTCGCAACTCGTCCAGGTCCCGAAGCAGCAAAGCATCCCCACACCATCACACTGCCACCACCATGTTTGACTGTTTTATACTATTTTTATTTCAGAAACATGGTGTTAGTTTTAGAGTGGGTGAAATGGAGCTCACCCCTTTTAAAAACTCCTCCTTTTGTCTCACCAATCCAGATTTTCTGTGTGTAAAGTATTGGTGCTCATCTAGATCAGGGGTGGCCAACATCCTTCACCAAGGTCTGGTATCCAGCGTGTTTTTGTTGATTCACTTGTTCAACCACAGACATCACATGGACTAGCACCGACGATTGGAGCTGGCGTAACAGTGGTTCACCATCTTGGATGGGTTCCCATTTGCCCCCAGTGCATTTATTTCTACTGAGGAAGGTGCTTGAACAACAAAAATGCACATTTTATTATGCTTTTTCACAACATTAGACACATGGTTTGATTAATCGGGTCTGGCAGTAGCCCGGCTTGAGCGTGGCTGTGAAACTAGCTTTCCAAATAACATGATTAATGAGTTCATTCATGATTTGACAACTGGGCTGCTTTAAATGGCTTTTCTTAATGCATGAAGAATGAAATCAGTATTATCTCGTAATGTAAAGAAATCTTCAGAGTTGTCTTCATTAAAATATGCGCTTATTTCTCAGAATGTTATTGACGAAAAAGGGTCCAAACAGCGGGTTGCAGTATGGCTGTGAAGCCACTCTCAACCTTCCTCCTGCCTTTTTTACGAAAGAGGATTTGAATCCACGTCTCGGCTCTTCTTGTGTCTATTTTTAGTGCAGCAGGGATGAAGCAGCTGCTTCAGCCTTTTCAATGTCCAAACGGGAACACTCAGCTTTCAGGAGGCGGCAACAATGGACAGGCACCGACAGGGAAGTGTTTCCCTGTAAAATATTCAGTTTGCTAATCTAATCACAAGATGTGATGATGGAAACCAGCGAGCATGCTTTTGATTGAACCAGGTCTTTAAAAGCTGAATGTATGCAGAGAGCTGCAAGATTTTAGACATTTGAAGGATTTTTATCACTTTTTGAATTGAAACTTTCTTAGCAGTCGATGTCCAGTCTGTCAGAGGAAACTGTCGCCCAAAAATCTGACTTAATTACTTCCTTACAGCTCAGTCGCAGACATGAAGCAAACATTCGATGGTGTTGACGAAAGGACAACCGCTTATTTCCCCCCACTCACGGGTGGTTTCTGAATGATGAACAGGAAGCTTGGCTCTTCTCAGAAAACAGAAGTTGTAACATAAACAAGTCTCTCCTTTTTTCATTTAAGGCTCGTCTGTTCGGAGGAACGCTCGCTGTTACAGATGAGATCAGCAATAAAGCTGTGTGAGTCACGCTGACCCTAAAGTAAAGGATCCAAAAACATGGAGCATGTGTATTTTTTTTTTCTACGCAGATGCAGTCTAATTCAGAGTTAAGTGTAAAAGCAGACGTGTCGCTCCTAAACGGACACTGTGATGAGTCATGGAAGTCTTCTAAACAGCAGCGTCTGCAGGACAGGGCCGAGAAAATAAAGGTAGCGTCGACACACGGAACCGAATCGTTGTAAAATATAAAAAAATGAAAATGTTTTCATAAGTTTGTGTGTGTGTGTGTGTGTGTGTGTGTGTGTGTGTGTGTGTGTGTGTGTGTGTGTCACAGACAAGTGGATACCTTAATCTACTGGCCAACTGCATTGACAACTTCACCCATGGTCTGGCGGTAGCTGGGAGTTTCTTGGTTAGCAAGAAGGTAAGAATCAGTCATCTCAACACTAACGCTGATTGAAGGAGAGCTCACACACATCCTCCTCACCTCTAGGATACTTTATCTGACAATTTGATTCTCCTCGGATTTTCTTCAGAGTGGAGAATAGAAAACAATAGACCCAACAAATCCTTGGGTAATTCAACAAATAAACACGACCTCAAACTCTACTTTCAGGTGTTTGATTTTGTTAAAAGAAAACTAGATTATGATCAACATGAGACGTTTATTAGGAGTGTAAATACAGCAGGAGGTTAAAGTTCATCAGTGACGTTCAAACATTCTCCACAGAGACCCAAGTCTTCACCTTAAAGGTGTGGAACACTGAAAAAACATTTTTACTTATTCTTTGAGAATGAGCAGTCGCTGAGTTTTTCATGCAGGCTGAACATGAAAATAGTCTCCTACACCTATCTTCTGCAGTAGCTTCTGATAGAAAATAGATGGCAAACTCTAGGATTTGAAAAGCCTGACAGATCTACGTCACATTCATGGACTCGCCCATCTTGACTCACGACGAGGAAGGCTGTTTCTGGTTTAGCGTCCAGGAAACCGCAGAGAACATCTCGGCTAGTGGTAGCTAGCCATTAGCATTAGCAACTCCACAGCAGAACTCCTTTAGGCTTGTGGTTATTTGTGGAGATAAAACATCAAATGTTGCAGAGCTAACCAAGTCGGTGGTTGAGTCGCATTGCTCTTAACCAATCAGAGGTGAGATGTGCAAATAATGTGGTGGTCTTTGAAGCATTCTGCTACTTCCTGAAACAGGCAGTTGTTAACTGCATTGTCAGCGGCCACCCTAAGTGGCCAGAATATTCCACTCACAACGTCAGAATGCCGGTCCGGTCTGTTGGATTGAGCTGATACCTGTACAGCTGGCAGTCTGGTTACAGCACGCTTCCTGCTTGTTTTAGGTCATGAACACAGCAGATTAGTTTAATTTAGTGAGGAATGAGGTCCTGGAGGGTGTGTGGGAGTTTGCCCAACTAATCTACGTGTGTTTTGTGGATTTTGAGAAGGCGCTCAACCGCGTCTCTCGGGAGGTGGGGGGGCCCTGTGGGGGGTACTCTGCGAGTATGGGGTACCAGGCCTTCTGATGCAGGCTGTCAGGTCCCTGTATGACCGGTGTCAGAGCTTGGTCCGCATTGCCGGCAGTAAGTTGAGCTCAATTTAGGTGATACTTGGATTCGGCCAAGGCTGCCCTTTGTCACCGATGCTGTTCATAACTTTTATGGACAGGATTTCTAGGCGCAGCCAAGGTGTGGAGGGCATCCGTTTTGGTAGCCTAAGGATTGAGTCTCTGCTTTTTGCAGATGATGTGGTTCTGTTGGCTTCATCAGAACGTGATCTTCAGCTTTCGCTGGAGCGGTTCGCATCAGAGTGTGAAGCAGCTGGGATGAGAAACAGCTCCTCTAAATCCGAGACCATGGTCTTGATTCGGAAAAGGGTAGAATGCCTTCTCCGGGTCAGGGATGAGGTCCTGCCCCAAGTGGAGGAGTTTAAGTATCTCGGGGTCTTGTTCACGAGTGAGGGGAAACTGGAGCATGAGATCGATAGGCGGATTGGTCCTGCATCTGCAGTGATGCGGGCGTTATACCGGTCTGTCGTGGTGAAGAGAGAGCTGAGCCGGAAGGCAGAGCTCTTGAGTTACTGTTCGATCTACGTTCCTACCCTCACCTATGGTCACGAGCTTTGGGTAGTGACTGAAAGAACGAGATCGCGGATACAAGCGGTCGAAATGAGTTTTCTCTACAGGGTGTCTGGACTTCCCTTAGAGATGGGGTCAGAAGCTTAGCTGTCCAGGAGAGGCTCGGAGTAGACCTGCATCTCTTCCACACGAGAGGAGCCAGTTGAGGTGGCTTGGGCATCTAGTTAGGATGCTTTCTGGTCGCCTCCCTGGTGAAGTTTTCCAGGCACATCCAACCAGGAGAAGACTTAAAGGAAGATCCAGAACACGCTGGAGGGACAATGTCTCTCAGCTGGCCAGGGAATGCCTTAGGATTCCTCCAGAGCAGCTGGCTCAAGTGGCCGGGGAGAGGGAAGTCTGAGAGTCTACGGGGTGCTAAAAGCAAAACCAAAACAGCCTAGTCTCCCTTTAATTCCTACTAGAGACCACTGCAAATGTATCGAGTTTCCCACATTTAAAATGATTTTGTATGCAGAAATAATTTTAGTTTGAATTAAATCTGATTATGAAAAATCTGAAACGTATACATCTTAAGTTTCCCTCATTGAAAGAAAATGATGAAATTGCCTGGATTTTGGTGTTTTATTTATTTATTTATTTAGCTTAACAAAATTTTAGTCTGTTAAAATAAAAACGTCAGTCTTTCTTTACTTTTCTGCTCTTTAGTAAACATCTTTTGGTTGTATTTACCATAGTGTTCACTTTTTAATTTGGCTGTTTTTATTCAAAAACTTTCATCAGGCTATGGCTGCTTAAAATTACTTAGTTTGATGTTAAATAAATAAACGATCAGTAAAGATTAGGAAAAGCGTGAAGACAGAACAATTCTCTTCACTGTTTTTGTGAAGCGGGTTGATCTGGTGTTGCGTGTGCTTTAGTAGGACCCCTCACCGGGTCCTTGTTACATGACACAAACTCCATCGGGTCTACTCTCTGCGATGCAGGCGGGTTTAAGTGGTGCATTTTGAGCTGCGGTGTTGTGGATTTGTACGGCTTCGGTAGCTTACCGTACGGCTGTAGCTGCAGGACGAGAGTCCAGCTGGAGGGACAGACGGCTAGCAGCAGGACGCTTGGGTCCACGCGCCAAAAAGGAAGTTCACTACATATTTCAAACATACAAAATGTCTCACCAGCTATTTCTATTTACTTCTGGTGCATTTGTCAGAACTGCATTTAGTCACGTCAAAACAATCTTTAAAATAAAGAATTGAATGAAATAAAAATGTCAGATTTGACAGTTTAGTGAGCAGATACCGTCACCTTAATGCTGCCAGGTCTTTTTATGTTTTGAAGTGAAGAAGCTGCTTTAATGAGTCCTTTCTTGCAGGTAGGGTTCCTCACCACCTTTGCCATCCTGCTCCATGAAATCCCCCACGAGGTGAGCTAGTGGTGTTCTTGGAAACTTGCGCCGTCATTTCTGAATGCAGAAGTTAGCGTTTCTCAGGCTGATGGGTCCAGTCTTTGTAAACACACCTGATGTCTCGTCGCGGCCCACAGGTGGGGGACTTTGCCATCCTCCTGAGGGCAGGGTTCGATCGCTGGAGCGCTGCCCGCATGCAGCTGTCGACGGCTCTGGTTGGAGTCTTGGGAGCTTGTTTCGCCCTGTGTGCTCAGTCACCTAAAGGCACAGGTGAAAGCCACTATACCTGCACGTGCACACACACACACACACACACACTGGACACCCTTTGAGGTTGATCTTTTTTTTTTTTTTTACCGTTTGTAGAAAATGCCACCAGCTGGATTTTGCCTTTCACTGCTGGAGGCTTCCTTTACATAGCCCTGGTGAACGTCGTCCCTGAGCTGCTCCAGGAGTCCAGTTTAAGGTGAATCACCTATATGGGATTGTTTTTATTTAAAATGACCTCATTTATTATTAGGAATGATGCTAAATAAATCCTGTAGAAGATGTATTAAGTAGGAAGAAATGACAAATGGCTATGGTGCTTTGCACACCTCCCTAATGTGTAACCGCTTTCTCTCCTCTTTCCAGACATTCCTTACTGCAGATCCTGCTCATTTCCTGCGGCGTGGCGATCATGGCGTTGCTCTCAGCTATTGTTGACTGAACGTGGAGGAAAACGCTCGCCTCGCCTAAACAAACACTCGCCCTCTACGCCGCCTTGGCGTTCCTCATTCCTGGAAGCATTATCCTGATTCCGAGACTTTATCTCTGACTCTGATGAAGACGACGGTGTGGACGTGTTCAGAACGTAGAGTTCTGATTTTTGGAAATCTGTTACAGATTTGTCTTTCAGACAATCACAAAGCTTTGCACACATTTACACACAGGTACACCTAGATGTACATGAAGACATGTTTTAGCAGGTATGGCTCTACACACGGACCGCCATCTTGTATTCAACTAGAACTTTGTAAAGATTATTTTATTGAACCAAATTGTTATGCAGCTTTATTCTATTTATTGACAGTAAAAACCATTTAATCACCTCCAGTTATTTTTTTTAAAGGTGTGTTAAAAAATATAAAGAAGTTGAAATATTGTCACTTTGAACTAAAGTCTCTTATCTTTACGTCTTTCACACCTTTTGGAACCTCTCGAGCAAAAGTTGGTGCTCTTTAACCCTCCCACTGTCCTAAAGGGTGACCCCGCGAGGAAAGTTGACCATTGAGCAGGGTTGATGGTTTATCCCTTGGGTCCATGTGGCAGGAGTGAGGAGTGAGCATCACCTCACCCCCGCCATGTGGACCTCAAGGGATAAACCATCAATCCTGCTCAATGGTCAACTTTCCTCGCGGGGTCACCCTTTAGGACAGTGGGAGGGTTGAGGTGATGCTGAAGAAACGATCAAGTAAAAGCTAAGTTTGGGATTAAAGCAACACCATAAACAGATCATTTATGGCATGTAGAATAAACTCAGTTTTAATAAATCTGTATGAAAATCAGATTTTTTATTTAACATGATATAAGAGTGTTTTTATTTGTTAATCGAGAATGTTGAGATGACCTTGCTGCTCCAAAACTAGTCTACTGTGTGTAGATTTTTACTGCAAAGAGACCAAATTCTCATATGGGATGTGTGTGTGTGTGTGTGTGTGTGTGTGTGTGTGTGTGTGTGTGTGTGTGTGTGTGTGTGTGTGTGTGTGTGTGTGTGTGTGTGTGTGTGTGTGTGTTCACACTTGTCCAATTTTGACTGTTTTTGGCAAGCTGTCGTTGCCATAACGACTCCTCTGCAGGTTGCCTTCCTTAGTCATCAGGCTTCAGGCAGCATATTGTCTGTGGGAGCTTTCTTCAGTCTCAAAAATCAACAACCGCCGTTTACGCTGTCAACAAACGCACACGGAGCAAACCCGGGCGACAAAGCGTACAGTCCAATCCCACAACGGCATACGTTAGCCCAGGTTTACTCTCTCAGCCCGTCAGAGTCAGCTCACGGCTCTGCTACCAGGCCTGCGGGTGGGATTTAAAAAACACTGATTTACAAACAACCGGTTTCTTTTTGATGATCCCCAAAGCGATCCATCAGGAGCAGCGTGAATTAGAGCTGAGTCACAAACACAGACCCTTTTTCATGATCAGTAGCCTGTAATTGAAAAAAAAAACACTGATTCTTGTGGCTGCAGCACAGAACACGAACAGGATGACCCGTCCGGATGTGGAGAGTGCACCGTTCTGTCGGTTCTAACGTCTGGGTTAGCTTTGGCGAACATTTTTATTTACAAGAACTTCACTTTTCATTTTAGTCATCCTGAAGAGAAAAGTTAAAGGCAAGTAAAACATAGGGCTCTAAATCCAAATGTACACATAATCACAGTCATTGAGGTGGAAATATAAACACCAATGAGACGATGTTTGTTTACTTTTTAAATAACAGTAGCTTCTGGTAGTTTTGTGTAAATGGAGTGTTTGTTATTTTTCTGGAGAGAACATTTCAGTGAGTCAGAAGTTACATGATTTGACTTGATTCAGAATGTTTCCACATAAATGAATAAATAATTCAGTCATACACCGTCAACCTAATGGTGATGCACTAATGTGCAACCTGGCAGAGCATCTCAGCTGCAAAAGTTGTTTTGGTGTTGTAGCGTTGACAATCTACACACTAGGATTTAACACTGTTTGCTGTCAGCTTGGTTAGATCCTGAGAAAAGATCAGGCACATCAGCATATGAACCTATATCATGCATAAAAATCTAGGATATTATACAATCGATGGAAGTTCATACACCAACGGGCTTGGTCTATATTTCATCCAAAGATTAATTTTTAATTTAAGATAATTAAATTTAATAGCAAAAGTTTATTTATTAAACAGAAGACTTAATGGATTCTTTGCTTATTCAATAACAAAATATACACCTTTCTGTGTTTCATTTCAAACAGGAGTCAGGTTTAAAAAGTTAAAAATTTATTACTAACAATTTTTAAAGATGACAATTGAAATGACAATTTAAAGAAATGACAATTTGTAACAGCTTTGATATTAGAACTTGTTATCAAAAGCAAACCTGTGTCTGGATCATAGACTGTACATACTGGACAATTCGATTCCATAGACTCCAATAACACGTTTTTTGTCTATAATGGGAGGTGGCCGCCACCGCCATTTTGACCGTGTCACATGTTCCGTCCAGCCCAGACAATTCCATAAAAGGTAAGAGAGGAGGAGCTGAGGGTGGGGCTGTAAAGCTGGGATCGAGTGACGACACCCGGGCGAACTAGCTTCGAGCTAACTCTTTGCCAGTGGTTCCCAAACTTATTTAGCCGCGCACCCCCTTCTATGTCCCGACCATGTCGACGCACCCCCCAGCCCCCACATCAGGACATGGCTATATATATATATATATATATATATATATATATATATATCAGACGTCAAGCTAAACAGACAGGGTTAAAAAAATATGATCGACCTTTTTCCCCATCACTTTCATTTTTTAAATAGTAATTAATAAACATTCGATACCATTACAATTTCCTTTGATTTAATTTTAAATAAATATTTAGAGTGCCCAGGTAGCACATAAACAATGCAATTTAACGGTTTTCTTAAAGTAGGAACGTTTAACCTGTGCGACCAGAGCGCTCTCCTTCCTTCTGCTCTGCATAAACCTGAGCTGATCACCTACTTGTGCGTAAACAAATGTCTATAGGGGAAAATATGGAAACGATATAGCCATGAGGTTCACTTTTACCTCAGACTGACTTATTGCTGTTTTATGGTGTGGCTGAATCTGCGATCCGCTGCCACGCGGACTGGAATAGCAAATGCTGCAGTAACATGAGTTCAGGTTCGGAGTCACTGGCTGGAGCGGACCCGACTTTAATACGTCATCCCAAAATAGAAGCTAATATCTTAATTTGGCCTTGAATGAAAAATGTTGTTATAAAATCTCTTAAAAGTTTTTATCACAGAGGAGGCAGCGCTCATTTCTGCCTTCAGTCTGACGGCACACCGGAGTTTGCGCCGTATTTGTTCCTTTTTTCTCTGTCTGGATAAATTAAACTTGTAAGCGCTCCGTGCGCGCTTATTGAATCTCTCTCTCTCTCTCTCTGTCTGTCTGTCTGTCTGTCTGTCTGTCTGTCTGTCTGTCTGTGTGTGCGCGCGCGGCACAGCTCCATGAAGCTTGGTTTATGCTTGACGCATTCACTTTCCACTTGGTGATGCGGCTCTCGGATGGAACGCGCTTCACAACTTATGTTTATGTATTTAGCAGACGCTTTTGTCCAAAGCGACTTACAAGTGACTTACAAGCGACTTACAACTCGCAGCGTTTAAGTCACCGTGTCTCGTTATTGGCGCTATTTAAACTTCTGCTCAGCCCAGATGTGCTCACTTGTGCACCCGTGAGCCGTGGTTCCGCTGGAACGCGTCTGACCTCTGACAGACGCACTCTAAACTTCAGATCTTCAGCGCGCTTTTAATAGCCTGAATGGGAATCATTCCTTGATTTATTTTGCTACATCCACAATGTTCTGTGTGTGAGGTTTACAATGTCAGAACACCTGCATGAGACAGGGTGTTAATTACAATCTGCCAGAATGACTCGCCACCTTCAGATTCACCGTTAAAAATGATCAAATACGGAACATATCGGCGTGCGCAGGCCAGAGTGCTGAAGCTCGGCGCATTCTTATTATGAAGCTAGGGCACATGTGGAGGACACGCGCGCAAAAATATACTTGTTTTCAATTAAATTTATTGTGCCCTTTTTCTTAAGCCCACCCACAAATGAGTTTCTGGCTACGCTAATGGTGACATATGACAGACTTCTCTGAGCTCTGTAGCCATTACACTTTTCACCTCGCGCACCCCCTAGCGGCAGCTCGCGCACCCCCGGGGGTGCGCGCACCACACTTAGGGAATCCCTGCTCTAAGCTAACGCGGAGGTGGGAACCGAGCTAACGGATGTAGCCACCTAGCTTCGACCCTACCGGAGCTAACTGTGGAACACAAATCGACCTGAACCTAACACGAAGTTTAGGTGGAGGTTTTCGGCGCCTGTTCGTGAAAAGTACCTGGATTAAAAAAGTATTAAATCGGTAAGTTTATAATTTATTTCCGTAATGAAAACATTTTGCTTTGAGCAAGTTTTCAGTACCGTATTTTCCGGGCTATCGCTCCTGAGTCGCACCAGCAATTCAATGTATAATGAAGAAGAGAAAATATATTTAAGTCGTATTTTGGGGGGACATTTTATTATTTTTCTTACAAAATCGGAGTCGGCCCACAGCAGCGCGGTGTAGCCTACATATTTTGTTGTATAAGTCGCTCCGGAGTATAAGTAGCAGGACCAGCCAGACTATGTAAAATAGTGCGAGTTATAGTCTGGAAAATACGGCAGTTATTAGTATTCGAGCTAAATTAGCAGCCTAAATACATTTCATACATTTCCAAAACATAATACTTGTTTGTATCTTGTACAGCCAAGTAGCCTTTATTCTGGACTCAGTACAATTCACCAAAAGTAAAGAGACATTATACAGATGAAGTAAGCACAAGATAACTTACTGGAAGACTCGGAATTATCATCAGAACCAGAACAAGAGAGCCTGATAACAGTCGTGTGAAAATAACAGTTAAAAAGTATGTATGTGTAATAGAAATAAAAATATATTAGAATTAGTGTAACTCACTGTGATCCAAACAATAAATCAGCCATAGCTGATTAGCAATCATGACATGAGGTCTGGGAGTTTTTAAGTTTCATTCTTTTATTACATTTTTTTCTTAGATCTGTTTAAAGGTCACCATGGCAGCCTGTGTGTCTCCAACATCAGCTACACAACGCAGCAAGTGTAAGTTCCAAATACCTGTCTTGACCACTTCATGTATGGTTTTGTACTTTAAACAACTATGACAAACCTGTTATTTTTTCTCCATAGCCATTTGGATCATTGGAGACAGCTACGTGAGGCGTGGTGCCCAGAGAGCTGCAGAGACCGTCGGAGACAACCTTGGCCTCCCTGACGTCTGTGTCTCCTGGTTTGGTTGGGGCGGACCATCGACATACATGTGCTGACACTTTGCACCGTGTTTTATAAAATGTATTGTTAAAAATAAATGTTTTTGCTCAGTTACTGGAATTTCTTTGGTTAAGACAAAAAAGTGAGGAATAATCATTTACAAGTTATTTCTACAACAGGCCCATTTTAAATCCCAACAGTTTCTTAGCAGACAATAGAAATGTGTTCTTTCTTAACTTTACTTGATTTAAAAATCTTACTAAAATAAACAGAGTGCTGTATTTCAAAACCCAATCATACTTGTTATGTAAATATTAGCTTTGTAGATATTTTTTACAGATCTATATTTGTGTGCAACAAAAACCAAACTTAAATAATTTGTCATTCTTTATTGAAAAACAATAAACTACAGGTATACAGAAAGTGTGGGAAAATGATAATGTGAAAGTATTGCACTTCAAATGAAATCCTATTTATCTTTAAATAGAAAAA